TGTGGAATGTAGCAAAGCACTGCTTAGAGGGAAATTTAGAGCATTGAATGCATGTATTAGAAAAGGAGAAAGATCTAAAATCAATCATCTAAATTTCTACCTTAGGAAACTAGAAAAAAAAGAGCAAATTGAACCCAAAGGAAACAGAAGAAAAGAAATAATAAAAATAAGAGCAGAAATCAGTGAAATTAAAAACATGAAATCAGTAGAGAAAATTAATGAAACTAATAGCTGATTCTTTGAAAATATCAATAAAATCAATAAAACTTAAAGCTAGGCTAACTATGAAAAAAAGAGGACACAAATTATTAACATCCAAAATGAAAGAAGGTATGTCCCTTCAGATCCCATACACATTAATAGGATAATAAATGAATACTATGAATAATTCTATGCACGTATATTTGACAACCTGGATGAAATGGACCACTTTCTTGAAAAATACAATCTGTCAAAACTCACACAAAAAGAAATAGGCAATATGAATAGGTCTATATCTATTAAAGAAGTTGAATCAATAATTAATAACCTTCTAAAACAGAAAGCAGCAGACTAAGATGGGTGCATTTGTGAATTTTACCAAATATTTAAGCAAAAAATTATGTCAATTCTCTCAATCTCTTTCAGGAGATAGAGCAGTGGGAATACTTGGCTAGCTCATCTTATGAGGCCAGCATTACCCTGTTACCAAAACCAGACAAAGAAATTGCAAGAAAAGAAAACTGACCAATATCTCTCATAAACATAGATGCAAAAAGTCCTGAATAAAATATTAGCAAATAGACTCTAAAAATGTATAAAAAGAATTACATACCAAGTAACATTTACCCCAGGTATGCAAGGTTGGTTCAACATTTGAAAATCAATTAATGTAATCCATCACATTACAAGCTAAAGAAGAAAAATTATATAATCATACCAATAGGTTCAGAAAAAGAATTTGACAAAATCCAACACCCATACATGATACATACTTTCAGTAAACTAGGAATAGAGAGGAACTTCTTCAACTGGATAAAGAATAGCTACCAAAAAACTACAGATAGCATTATACTGTATGGTGAGAATCTAATATTGGTGAGAGACTTTTCCACTAAGATAAGGAACAAGGCAAGGATGTCCCCTCTCACCACTGCTTTTCAGCATTGTACCACAAGTCCTAGTAATGCAATTAAGACAAGAAAAGGAAATCAAAGATACACAAATTGAAAAGGAAGAAATCAAAATGATTTTGTTAATAGAAGACATGATCCTCTCTATAGAAAATCCAAAAGAATCAACAACAAAAGCAACAAACTCCTGGAACTGATAAGTGGCTATAGTAAGATTGGAAGATACAATATTTTTGTATTCTTTTCTTTTGTTCTTTCTTTTAGAGGATACAAAGTTAACATACAAAAGTCAGTTGCTTTCCACAGACACATGAAAAGTTGCTCAACATTGCTGATTATTAGACAAATGCAAATCAAAACTACAATGAGATATCATCTCATACTAGTAAAAATGGCCATCCATCAGAAACCTACAGATAATAAATGCTGGAAAGGATGTGAAGAAAAGGGAGCCCTTCTACACTGTTGGTGGGAATGTAAATTGGTGCAGCCACTATGGAAAACAGTATGGAGGTTCCTTTAAAAACTAAAAATAGAGTTACCATATGATTCAGCAATCCCACTCCTGGTCATACATCCAGAAAAGACAAAAACTCCAATTTGGAAAGATACATGCACACCAATGTTCAAAGCAGCGCTACTTATGATGGCCAAGACATGGAAGCAATCTAAATGTCCACCAACAGATGAATGGATAAAAAAGATGTGGTAAATATATACAATGGAATACTACTCACCCATAAAATGAAATATTGCCATTTTCAGCAACATGGCTGGACCTAGAGATCACCATACTAAGTGAAGTAAGTCAGACAAAGAAAAATATATGCTATCACTTATATGTGGAATCTAAAAAAGTGACATAAATGAACTTATTTACAAAACAAATAGACTCAGACATAGAAAACAAATTTATGATTACCAAAGAGGAAGGGGGAGTGATAAATTAGAAGTATGGGATTAACAGACAGACACTACCATACATAAAATAGATAAATAACAAGAATTTACTGTATAGCACAGGGAACTATAATCAATGTCTTGTAATAACCTATAATGGAAAGGAATCTGAAAAATAATATATATTACTGAATGTATATATATATAACTGAATCACTTTGCTATATACCTGAAACTGACACAATATTATAAATTACTATACTTCAATTAAAAAAAACACTCAATCACCTTCCTATATAACCAGCAAGGACCAAGTGGGATTTGAAATTAAAATTTAAAATATCATTTACATTAGCACTCCAAAAATGAAATACTTAGATACCTGTCTAATAAAATATGTACAAGGTCTATTTGAGAAAAACTATAAAATTCTGATTAATGAAATCAAAGGAGAACTAAGTAAATGGAGAGATAGTCCACGTTCACAGGTAAGAAGACTCAATATTGTCAAGATGTTAGTTCTTTCCAATTTGATCTATAGAAGATAACATAGGAGAAAATCTAGATGACTTTGTGTTTGGTAATGATTTTTTTATCAATAACCCATGGCACAACACATGAAATAAAGGATTAATAAGCCAGATATCACTAAAATTAAAAATTTCTGCTGTGCAAAAGACACTGTCAAAGAATGAAAAGACAAGCTGCAAACTGGGAAGAAATACCTGAAAAGATATATCTGATAATGGACTACTCTCTAAAATATAACTCAACAACAAGAAAATAAACAACCCTTAGGAAAAATGGATCTAACACCTCAACAGACACCTCATCAATTAAGATATACAGATAAGCATATGAAAGGAAAATTGCAAGGAAATTAAAATTAAACAACTATATACCTATCACAATGGCCAAAACCCAGAACACTGACAACACCAAAAGCTAGTGAGAATATGGAGCAACAGGAATGCTCATTCATTGCTGGTGGGGAAGCAAAATGGTACAGCCACTTTGCAAGACAGTTTAGTAGTTTTTTTATGTAACTAAACATACTTTTACCATACAATCTAGCAATTGAGCTCCTTGGTATTACCCAAATTAGTTGAAAACTTACAGCCACATAGAAACCTGCAAACAGTCTGTTCATAGGAATGTAAAATGTATAGCTACTGTGAAAAACAGTATGACAGTTCCTCAAAAAATTAAACACAGTATTACCAATGATCCAGCAATTCCACTTCTGGATATATAATCAAAAAATTGAAACCAAGGTCTTGTAAAGATTATTTGTATCTCCATATTCAAAGCAGCATCACACTAGCTAAAATGTGGAAGCAACTCAAGTGTCCATCAATGAATGAATGGGTAAGAAAAATGTGGCATATACATACAATGAAATATTATTCCACCTTAAAAAGTAAGGGAAGTTCTGCAATATGCTACAACATGAATAAACCTTGAGAAATAAGCCAGTCACAAAAGAACAAATGCTGTATGATTATACTTATATGATTATAGAGTGGTCAAAATCATAGAGACAGAAAGTAGAATGGTAGTTGCCAGCAGCTGAGGGGAGGGGAGTATGGAGGGTTATTGTTTAATGGGTAGTTTTGGTTTTACAAGACAAAAAGCATTCTGGAGATGGTAATGTTTGCATATTATGAATGTATTCAATAGCACTGAACTGTACACTTAAAAATGGTTAAGGTGGTAAATTTTATGTTAAGTGTATTTTACTGCAATAAAAAATTGGGGAAAAAAACCCTGTACAGAGGTGTTTATAGCAACCTCATTCATAATTTCCAAAACTTGGAAGCAACTAAGATATCCTTCAGTAGGTAAATGAATAAATAAACTGTGGGACATCCAGACAGTGCAGTATTTTTCAGTGCTAAAAAGAAATGAGCTATCAAGCCATGGATAGACATGAAGAAACTTAACTGTATATTACTAAGTGCAGTGTGAAAGGGCTACCTGTTGTATGATTCTAACTATATATTTTGGAAAAGGTGAAACTATGCAGACTGTTAAGAAATCAGTGGTTTCCAGGGGTTAGAGGTGAGGGAGGAATGAATAGGCTGAGCACAGAAGACTTTTATGGCAGCGAAACTATTCTGTATGATTACACATATCATTATAAAGCTGTCCAAACCCATAGAATGTACAACACCAAGAGTGAAACTAACATAAACAAGGATTTTGTGTGATAGCTCATTAATTGTATCACTCTGGTGCAGGATGTTGATAATGGGGGGAAGCTATGCATGTAAGGGGTACAGGAGTATATGGTAAATCTCTGTAATTTCTGCTCAATTTTGATGTGAAACTAAAACTTGCCTAAAAAAGTTAAGTCCATTAAAAAATATCTGGCTCAATAAAAGATGCTAGATGCTAGATTCTCATATCTGCTTCTGCATTAGATCTCCTAGGGTCAGATAAAACCAGAACCAGACAAGTTAAAGCAGTTAAGTCAGATTTTATTCAGGAACTGTCACAGTAGGGGAAGAGAGACCTCATTGTAGACCTGGACTCCATTCTGAACACAAAAAGGACAAGTGGGGATTTATGGGCAAGGAATAGGATGGGAGTCAGTGGATAGGAAAATTACTAAGAGGAAATATCGAGGATAAAGGGAATCTTGCCTAAACCCACTGATAGGATTTCTGCTGAAGGCAGGCCAAGGTGGTCAGATATTGACAGAAACGGATTCTGACTAAACCGACTCAGCTGGATTCTTGCTAAAACTGGAATAAGTGGGCCAAGGACAGAGCCCAAGGTTAGGTGCCTTGAGGGCTCAGAGGAGCCAGACTAGAGTTAGGTCTAATAGAGTCTCTGTCACGTCAGGAGTCTTGGTTACTTTTTCAATTTAAAATCGTTATGTGATTGGGTCGCACTCTCTGATCTACAGGCCACTTCCCAAGGGCTCCTTTATAAATATGGATTAGGAAGAAAGATCACTGAATAGCTACTTCCTTACAAAGGTACATGTGGATGCCAAAGGCATTCAAGGTAAGTCTTTCCCCATTCCCCTGTTTTTGTACACTGAGAGAAGAGTATCAACATGAGAAAGATGTAGTCCCACAAACTAATAAAGGCAACTGGTACATGATTCAAATACTGGCTTTCCCCCTGAATAGGCATGCAAAGCCATGTTTCTATTCCTGTGAAACAGGAATGTTAGTATGTACCTTTCAGTGCTCTTATAATCTGGCTCAGGCTTATAAATGGAAGTTAATCATAAAATTATACACATATGATTTTATATATGTATATAATGTTATATATGACATAATTTTATATATTATGTTTTTATGAATTTATATAAATTTGTGATTTTATATAGATATAATTATGTTAAAATATTCACATATGTTATATAGATATAATACAACACAATACAATAAAGACCCCATTTATATTGTTACATATACTCCAACTAAGTGAAATCATGAAGAAAGTGGTATTTAAGGAGGGTCCTAAAAGATGGTCAGATTTCAACAGAAGGGAACAGCATGGCAAAAGGTCAGGGATGGTAAAGCATAGTGAAATCTGAGGGCGTGGTAAGAAGTGTGATGAGGCTGCAGTATAGGATGCCTGGTTGGAGGTGTAGTCATGGGAGATCAGGATGGGACCAAATGATTCAAGGCCCAAATGCCATCCTAAGTTCTTGAACCACAAGTCTATGAATGCTCTCTGATCACATTTTTCATGGCAGTAGTGTGGAGAATGGATTGATGGTACAGAGATAAGGACTTCATTAAGAAGCTGTTGCAGTATTTCAGAGACAAGGAAAATGGCAATAGGGGAAAAGAGGGAATGCCTCAAAATTTCCTCCCAAATGATCCAGTAATTTTACTTTTCCAAGCTAGAGAATTAAGCACTGACTCTTAGGGATGTGTGAAAGATTCAGACGACAAATGTGGCATTAGAGATACACCTATTTAAGTAGAAATTATTAATAGGAAAGAAGGCAATCTTGGAGAAGAGGGCATACAGCAAAATGGTTATATTGAATATGAGATATGAGTGTATTTAAATAAAATAGTGATTTTATAAAATAGGGACTCCAAAATTAGAGCACTCAGGCCCATGCCAATTTAACACAGTTCTGCTTCCAATAATTCTTTCTGATTGTCACCCAAATGGTCTAATCACTCTCCTCTGTGCTCTCTAAAAACTTTCGGTGGGAGGGGGAGCAAAGTAACTCATTTGTTTACCTGTCTTCCCAGCTGGACGCTGGGCTCCATCAAGAACAAGCCAGATCTGCTGTATCAGTTTCCCTAGTGCCTAGCATAAGATCTAGTCCCCTGCTCCCCCTAAAAAATCAGTAAATGATGAATTAAAAAAAGGGAGCCAATACCTACTTGTTGTCTTCTTCTTAAATGAATGACTATTAGGAACATTCTCATCTTCCTTATCTCCTACCTTTGCATACCTTGCTTCTTGAGCTCAACCTAGAAGAGAGCCTACTCTGCCTTAAGCAATGTGCCAGGCCTCGAACTGAGGAGAAACAGATGATTCAGCTTGATCAAGCTATGACAGAGAACAGCTCAGGAACTTACAGCACAGAGAAGGCAACCAACCCAGACTGGAGGATGAGGAGAGGCTTCCCAGTGGAAACAAAGCTGAGTCCACAAAGAATAAGTGGGAATAAAGTTTATCTTGATGGGAGGCATAAGATTAGGAGTGGGGAGAAGTGAGTTTCTGTCAAAGAAACAGTATGAGTAAAGAACTCAGCTGGAGGGGCTAGTCTTCTAAATAACTGAAGCTACTTTATTTAGACATCTCAAGTTTAGAATATGTGAGGGAACAATACTGCTAATGAGATTGGGGAGGTAGTCAGATTTGCAAACCATTTAAGAATTGATACTTAGTCATAACAGCATTGGGACGCCACTGAAGATTTCGAAAAGTTTAAATTCCCCCTAGGGGAATGACATGACCAGATTTACATTTAAACAAAAAATCTCAGCCATACAAATAGTGGATTGAATGGGGGCAATAGTGTATGCAGGGAGAAGAGTTCAAAATATTGCAATAGAGAGATGAAGGTGGCTTGTACTATGGTAGTGGGAATGGAAAGAAATAGAACAATCTGAGATATACAACTGGAAGAAGAATCCTTCTGGCTGTGATGTACAAGAATTAGTAAGTGATGCGGAGGTAGGAAAGGTTCATTAGTTTGGACTTTATTCTGAAGGGGATAAACGGTAAACCATTTAACATTTTAATCATGGGAATGATCCATTCAGATACAGGATTATAAATAGATCACTTGGCAGAAGGTGGTGAGACGACAGAACAGCGTAAAGGTAAGAACTGAGATAAACGGGGAGGAAGCGGTGGATGTAGGGAGGCACGGGAGACCCAAGAGGGGTTTCGGGGTAGGGTCCCAAGCTAACTGTCAGAGAAGCAGAAACTGACGCAGTCCCAGGAACAGTGGCGGGCGACCCGGACCCGGGGCGGGGCGGGGCGGTGGGGAGAAAGGGCGGACCGCGCAGCCGGAGCCGCCCACTCCTCCTAGCGCCGGGGGCGGGACTAGAGCACGCACGGCGGCGTGACGCAGGGCCGCAGCTGGCCTCGTTCAGGCCGCCGCTGCCGCTGTGAGGCGGAGTAGGATGAGGCCCGCGGCTGCGG